CTAGCCTAGCCAGCAGATGGGAACAGATGCAGAGACCCACAGCCAAACATTAGGCAGAGAAAAGGCCCAAATTGGAGATCTCCATCCAGGTTCCTCCCACTCAAGCTCTAAGAACCCCATGGAAGAGGGGAGGAAGAATTGTAGGAGTCAGAGGACACCAGGAGAACATGGTCCAGAGACATCAATAGGGCTCATAGAGGCTCACAGAGACTGAATTAGCAATCATGGAGCCTCCATGGGTCTGTGCTAGATCCTCTGCATATAGGTTATGGTTGTGTAGCTTGGTGTTTTTGTGGGGCTCCTTACATTGGGAGTGGGGTTATCTGACTCTTTCGCCTGCTCTTGGGACCCTTTTCCTTCTACTGGTTTGTCTCCCCCAGCCCTGATATGGGGATTTGTGTCTAGTTTTATTATGCATCTTATTATGCTGTGTTCAGCTGAAATCCCAGGGAGGCCTGCTCTTCTCTGAAGGGACATGGGATGAAGTGGATCTGGGAGAGAGGGTAGGTGGGGGAGGACTGAGAGGAGTGGAGGGAGGGGAAATTTCCACTGGATGTATTATATGAGAGAAGAATAAATTTAAAAAAAAGAGGAAACAAAACAAAACAAAAAGCAAACAAACAGAAAGACACCAAATGAGTGTGTGTGGTGTTGGAGATTGAACCCAAATGAGTGTGTGTGGTGTTGGAGATTGAAACCAGGGCCTGGCACATTCCACACAGTTGCTCTTCCACTGAGCTAAGACCCAGCTCTTAGTTTTTGAGACAGTGTCTCACACTGTAGCTCAGGCTGGCCTACAAATGATGATCCTCTTGCCTCGATATACAGTGATGGATGATAAACATATGCTACTGTATCCTGCTGTATATGATTTTGTTTTGTTTTTGGTGTTTTCTTTGTTTGTCTTGGCAAAGTCTCTATTATGTAGATCTGGATGTCCTGGAACTTGCTATGTAGATCAGGCTGGCCCCGGAATTCAGAGATCCACCTGCCTCTGCCCCTGATGTCCCGAGATAAAAGCCATGCACTATCTCATCTGGCTATGTTTAACTTCTTAAAGAAATATCAAACTAATTTCTACAGTGGCCACGCTATTTTATAGTCCTCTCAACAATGTTGAGCCATCTCTCGAGCCCTGAATATAAATTTTACTTATGGATTTTCCCTCTGAGCACCTTGAAAGTTTTTCCCTTTGTGTTTGGCCTTTATGGTTACCATGAGAAATCAGCTGTTCGTTCCACGGAGGATCACCTGTGAGCAGTAAGCATCCTCTCTCTCTTGCCACTTGCAAGGTTCTTCGTCTTCCCATAATTTGATGATGTTGCATCTTGACTCATGTCTCTGAGTATATTCTATTTGAAACTGGTTGAGCTTCTTCGGTTCATGTACTTAATCAAAACTGGAAGCCATTGCCTACTCTTCCTTCAAAGATTTGTTATTCCCTTTTCCCTGACTCCCCTCCCAGCTCCAGTTATGTGTAAGTTGGAACACTGAGAATTTTAAGACACCCGATAGGCCCTTATTTTAACACATCTCAAATCATGGTCCATAGTCCAGAAACGTCATTATCTCCTGGGAAGTAGTTAGACATATACATTCTCAGGCCCCATCCAGACATACTGAAGAACCTTTGGCTATGAGACAACCTGTTGTTTATTTTGTTTTGTTTTGTTTTTAAACAAAACCCCTCAGGCAAATTTTAAGCATATATTTTATTTATTAATGTGTGTGCATGATGTATACATCACAGGCACAAATGCTGCAGCATGCATGAGGAAGGTATCTTGTGAAGTGGCGTCTCTCCTTCCCTTTTTATATGGGTTCCGGGGATTAATTACACTCAGGTCACCAGACTTCCCTGCTAAGCACCTCTACCCGATGAACTGTCTTACCAGCTCTCCCTTCTAGACAATTTGATGTATGCCAAAGTTTAAAAATCAATGATTTTGATGCTTTTGATTGTACCGATTTACCTTTCCTATGTACCTTTCAATCAACTGATTAAGTAATCATTCCAGTCAAATCATACTTTCATTAAACTCCTACTAGGTAATAAGCTTTGAGAATACAATGAAAACATTTCCCTTCTTATTGTCATGGTAAGCTGTCTTATAAGAAACTATCCAGACTTGCCTTCATTGGATGCAAAGTGGGTTAGGGAGGCTAACACATAAACAAGTGATAAAGGGCTATATAGTATATACCCAAACAGAGTTTTGAATAGTCATTGTAAGGACTCATGGAGGACTGGACACAGAAACTCACCCCAAAACTGGAGCGGAAGAAGCATCAGTTCCAGACTGATGCAGAAAAAAAGTCCTGGGATCCATGATGATTTGAGGAAAGGAGATGATGAAATAGCAGGGTGTGTGTGGAAGTGTGGTTTTGAGCAACTTTTTCTGTGTAGTAGGAAGAATTTACTTCTACCCTGGCTCTTAAACTCAATGCCCTGTGGCTGAGTCCAGCAGATTTTTGTCCTTATTAGCATAGAAGAGGTATAGAAGTGACCACAGAGTGAGATGTGTGCCATTTATCATCTAGTTAGGCAGAAGACTCTATGAACAGATTAATAAATTGTACATGACAATGTAAATACAGGCAAAATTCAACAGAGCTGTGCCATAAGCTTCTATCTATGTATAGTCCAACTTGTGAACGGGCTTGGTGTGAAGACAAAATCAGATCCCATACACAAGGCTCTTATTGTGGAAATTGACTGCGGGCATGCACTCAGTAATATCATAGGAACATTTGCTGTGGCTTGCTAACCCCTTAATGTTTGGGGACGTGTAGTGAGCTTATCTAAATTGAAACAACACATTCGTACCACAGTAAATCATTTGCAGTTACTTATTGTGTAACAAACCACCCCAAGCCTGTGGCTTAAAACAGTGGCAATACTTTGTGGATATGCAGTTTGGGCAAGGCTCAGTGGAACAGCTCATCTGTGCCCCAGATGGCATTAGTGAGGGTGGCTCCAAAGACCAGTCACAGGTCAGGTGGCGAGTGAAATCATCTGAGGGCTTACCCAAGACCCTACCCGAGACCCCGCCCCGCACTTGATTCTGGTGGCTGGGGCAGCTAGCACTCTTCCCTCTGTGTGGATTTTGCTGCATTCTCCAGCTGTGTTGAAGCCAGTCCCCTCCCCCCGCCCCCTTTTTTTAATAGAAGGTTCAGCAGTCCAAAAGACCAGATAAACAAATGGAGTTTTCACTTTGACTCTGCCATTTACTATGTTGCTCACAACAAGCCCCTCCTCCCCCCCTCCTGAATCTCAGTTCTCAAATTTTATAAGTCAGGACTTCGTCTCAATTGCCCAGAAGAAGATGCTGAGGCAGGACTTAGAGTGGACATAATTTAGTTGAGAGTTAATTCCAGCATATATCAGAAGGAAGCTGGAAGGAGATACAGGGAAAGAAGCCAGGAAATGGTGCAACCAAGAAAATACCACAGTCAGTAACTGGAGCTTAAAGAGCAGCACAGAGTTACCTCACCTAAGGGCGAAGGGAGCCTGGATATTATTTCCATGTCGGCTCCAGTCAGTCAGCGCTTGAAGACAGCAAATTCGAGGTGGCCTTGAAAAATCTGGAAGCAGAGAGGAGTCGCTGATGGACCAAAACTGAGCAGGTTTACAAGGAAAACAGTGAGATCTGAATGGATGTGAACATTCTTTATTGAATAACAGTTTTCTTAAGATTATTAAGTAATTAAACGAGGTAGTATTAAAAAAGAAAGTAAAAACTCCATTCCTGTTGTGAAAGTACTCCCTGGTACTTCAGTAGTCTTCATAACAGCATTTAGAGGAGCCCCGAGGGTCCTGAAGCTTTTCCAACGCGCGGCCCATCAGACAAGCTTTTAGACAGGCGGCCACTGCTTGTTTTGTAATGACTGCTGTGTAAAGGCAGTCTGCCAGAATGGCGTTACCAGAAGTGGGTTAGCCGCCACTGTGGACTTCAGGGCTGATCCATAAATTCTGTGCTTCTGCACTCACTGCCTCCCTTCAGGAGCTCCTCCGGGGTTTCCTCATCACTGTCACCCGCTTAGACTGGTCACTCTCAGCTCCCTCCCATTCCCATCCTCCACTGTGCTTTCTGAGACTCAAGGTCTGGTGCTACCGCCCATAAACGGCTGCAAATTTAACGTTAAGATACTGGGTTCCTAAGTTGGTAGTCATTTGATAGTTTTTGAATAGAGGCGTGAAATAATCCAGTTATTTAGGAAGGTTTTGGGGCGCAGGCTTGGATGACAGAAAAGATGGAAAAGCAATACACCTCCCCACCGCGTATGTATGCGCATGTATGTCTTGAAGTTATTGCAATTGTCCATTTTGAGACGTGCGAGGTGAAGGATCTGTCTTGACACCAAACGCAAAGACTATAAACGAAGGGGCAGATAAGAAAGAGACAAAGCGAGGCACGTCATTACAAAACAAGCAGTGGCCTCTTGTCTAAAAGCTTGGGTACTAGTTCAGGCAGCCTCAGACAGCTTTGCAATTTTCCCGGGCGTGAAAGACTGTAGGCAGCACCTCCCAGGAGGTCTGGCTCAGACCCAGACAGCCGACAACAACAGAGTAAGCGCGCCAACCCTGTTCTCTCCTGCATCCGGAAAACGGGGGAGTGGCTAGCATCCTCACCGAGGGGCTGCCGCAGATGCGATGCCAAGTACCAGGCAGCTGCGGACACCCAGGCCGGGCCATTGCTTCCTCTAGCTCTCAGGCCCGAGAAGCCGCACACAGACAGACCCTACCACCGTCTGGGCGCCAGGGTTTCCCCCGCAGCGCTACGCGTCCTACTGCCGCGCGCTGTTGCTGGGGCCACGGCACCGCCCTCCTTCACTACCGGCCAATGGCGGCGCGGCCAGAGCACCGCCCAGCTACAAAGCGGACCAATGGCGGCGTAGAAAGGGCAACGCCCTGCTCCCCCACGGGCCAATTGCAGTGTGCCCCGGCGCCCGGACCGCCCCAGCCGGGCGAGGAGGCGGGCAGGCGGCCGCTGGCTCCGCCCCCCTCCCCTCTGACCCGGTGTCTAGTCGCTCTGTCTTCCTGTTCCAAACCACGTGGACGCGTCGGGGGCCGCGGTGGTCCCTGTCGCGTTCCCCCGCTCCCGGCCCTCCGCGGACCGCGCGCACATGGCGACCCAGGCGCACTCCCTCAGCTACGCGGGGTGCAACTTCTTGCGCCAGCGGCTGGTCCTGTCCACCCTGAGCGGGCGCCCGGTCAAGATCCGCAGGATTCGGGCCAGGGACGACAACCCGGGCCTCCGAGGTGACTTGGGAGGGGGCGTGGAGGGGGGGGGCAGGGACCCGGGCTCGCCGTCCCGAGCCGCCGCGGGGCGCGTGGGAGGGCTGGTGGTCGGGCGGCGCGGGAGGCGGGGCTGTTCCGGAGCTGCGCCACGCGTGGAACGATTCCCTGCGTCTCCTGGGCGCGGGTAGTAAACAGCTACACGTTTTCCTGGCTGGCGTGTTGCTACGAATCGTAGGCGTCGCCCACTCACTTCCCTCTCTTGAGACTCTTGGTTTCGCCCTAAACCTTTCAAAGGAGAAAAACAGTTTATTGGACCAACACGTAGTAGTGAGTGAGTGGACAGACAGACAGACATTGAGGAAAGTCCCACCGGTTGGTTCCCAGTTCTCATCCAAAGCAGGTCTCTGAAACCGCTGCCCCACTTGGACACCAGCTCTTGTCGCCATTGTTCCTCGGCCCCCCACATCTCTTCGGGAGTGGATTGCAAAATTCCATTTTTAGATGATGTGCTTGTTTCTGTTATTCACTGATGTGCTTTGAGATGGGTTTTTGTTTTGTTTTTGAAACGGGGTCTCATTGCCCAGGTGGGCTCAAACTTGGTTTGTAGCTGAGGATGATGACCTCTAACTCCTGCTCCTTCTGCCTCCACCTCCCAAGTGTTGGGATTACAGGCCTGCTACATGACGCTCCGCTGAGATAATCTTTAAGTCATAGACCTAATTGTCTTGACTTCAGGAAAAGGAACACCAAACAGTAAGCCATAGGCTTCGAGCTCTTTTACTTATTTATTTGCCGCACAAAGGCAGAGATGGGTTAAACTCATCATTTGAACCCACATCTCATTAAAGTCTTTGGTTTTCAGTTGTTCCCTTAGAATTTAGGCACACATTCAAAAGCGTCTCTCTGATCTCTCCAAATTAAGACAATTGAATCAAAACCGCCCTGTAGCCTGAAGATAGAGAGGGAGGGGCTCTGGTTGGCTCAAGAGACTTCCTGGGTCAGGCTGATGTGTTTAACTTTGTAGAGGCTCTTGTAATAGATGCTAGACCCTTTCATCATCTGTCTGAATATGGTTTTTGGATAGTTTCGTTTCTGCCACTCTTGAAGTTCTGTGCATGGTGATGGAAACAAGGTTAGAAAGGAAGAGACTAGAAGGGTTAGTAAGGTTAAATTCCTATCTTCCCTATAGTGCTGGAGAGAACACCAGGCTGGGGACAAACACCTGTGATCTCAGCACTCAGGAGGCTGAGGCAGGAGGATCGTAAATCCAAGGCCAGCTTGGGCTACACAGTGAGTTTTTGTCTCAGAACAAAAACTGGGGGGCAGAGACAGGTGGGTCTGTGTGAGTTAAGAGGCCAACCTGGTCTACACAGTGAGTTCCGGGCTAGCCAAGACTACATAGTTGGACCCTATTTAAAAAACAGAACAAAACAGATTAACAAAATCTGAAAGAAAACAGTCAAAAAACTCAAACGTTGAGGAGAGGCCACTGAATAGTTGGTTCTCTTTCCCTCAAATCTCCTCCCTCCACCCAGCCTCCCCACCCCACCCCCCAGTTTTAAATCTGGTCCTTGGGAAAAGTTATTGCATAGTCTGCTTTGTTGTGTTTTTCAACCCCAGATTAACCTGGAGACTTGCTTCTGCTATGACCACTGGGTACAGATTTTTGTTAATTAATTTTTTGACCGGAAGTGCTTTAGCCTGGAGACCTGGACTTTCTTTCACAAATATAATACTCAAAGATATAAGTCAGAGTTGACTCTTGATAGGTGTCTTCCAGTATAGTATTTCATATTTCCAAGGACGTGAATGGACTTGACCCTTGGCATTTTTCTGAAAGGGTAGGGATTCTGGTACCCGGGGAGGTGGCTCTTTTATGGGATGCGCCTCTGTAGCACACTATTTGCTTTACCTCATGTCTTAGGGTTCCGTTGTTGTGGTAAAAGACTGTGAAAGCGGCGCTGGGAGGAAGGGGTTATTTCAAGCCAAGTTGTAGTCCATCAGGAAGGGAAGCCGGCGTAGGAGCTCGAACCAGAGACCAAGGGAGAATGCTGCCTACTGGCTCGCCCCTCTTGGCTTGCCCAGTTTGCTTTCTTATACACCACAGGACTACCTGCCCAGGGGTGGCATCACCCACAGTGGGGTGGGTCCCTCCACATTTATCATCATTCAAGGAAATGTCCTACAGACTTGCTGATAGGCCAATGTGACGGCTTGAGTGCACTTTCTGAATTGAGATTCCCTCTTCTCAGGTGACTGGTTTGTGTCAAGCTGACAGAAAAACCTAACCAGCATACCAACTCAATGTGCTAGTGCAACAGAGACTGCCGCTTCAGACCTTGTGCTGACTGAAGGGCTTAGGAAGCTTGTCTGGTTACTTACAGAGGGACCCAGATACACATCTCCACTTTCATTTTTAGACTTAACATGCATGTGAGTGTGTACACAGGTTAAGTGTGCATAATATACACATACACATAAACACAAATGTATGTAGCCTTGGACACATGATCTGGGGCCATAGTCAAATCTATGGGAGCTTCATCTTTCTCTGCTTCTTCTTGACTCAGATTATGGAATTTGGGGAAAAAAAAAACAAACCCAAAACTTGAGAATACTTAGTACAATCTCCAGCTGAAATGCAAAAGGCAGTCACATCCCCCAAAGGTGCTTGCTTAAACATCCCACGGGAGTACACTTTGGAGGAGGCCTGCCTCAGGACCATTCAGGAGTTGATTGGGCTTCATTATGCGCAAGGCTTTGGGGAAGGGGAGTCCAGGTAGAAGTCGGTTGCCCCTGCACTCAGGGGACTTGTTCTCTAGCAGGAAGAACTTGAGGGAATAGTGTGATGAGGTAACAGGAGTCAAGTGTGGTAGAGGGACTCAGTGGAGCCCCAAGCAGAGAACAGCCTGGCAGTTGAAAGGACGACATTCGGGATGTCCTTCTGTTGTGAGAGTGGAGTCGGTGGCTCTGAGGATCACTATAGGTGAAAGAAAGAGTTCTTCTTTTTTTCCTTTTTTTTTCTTTTTTTAAGCATTTTGTATGTCCATGTCTAAGTATGTGCCACAGTGCTCTCTCAGGTTGTCCTCTGATCTCTATATGCATGTGGTCCATATATACATACCCTCCCCCATTCTGCACATAAAAATAAATGTCAAAGCAAAACCTATTTCTGAGCCTCAAGTTTTTCTGTCGGTAAAGCGTGGGGTCAAGTAGTCCTACTTTGTGGGATTATTATGGAGACTAACTTGACTTAGATGTAAAGAGCAGGGCCAGTGAGCAGGAGGAACAGATGCCAGTTGGTTTATTATGATTCTACTAAGCACTGGGTAAAGTTGTGCTGTCTGGTGTCTCAGGCCTTTCTCTGCTGCCATTGGAAACTTTCCAGATATTTAAAGAAAATTATGTTGTCCCTTTGAAGCTTCCCTTTAGGAGATCAGTTCTGCATATTTGCATATTATTGGTAGTTTTGCCCTCTGGGATGCTGGCAGTATTTAGAGACATTTTTGGATATTGCGGAGGGAATTGTCAAGTAGGAGAGCCCAAGAAGCTACTAATACCCTACTTTATACAGGATAGGCCTCACAAGAATTATTCTGTATACTAGTAATAATTCTATGGAAATGTCAGTACTGGTGTTTAAAAACTCCTAGACTTTAATAATTAAAGCTTTTCTTTATATCCCAAATTTTTCAGAATAGCAGCAGGTATTATTAGAACTGCCCAAGGAACTAGACATGGTAGTATTTATACCTGTAACCTACCATAGAGAAGGCTGAGTTTGAAGCCAGTCTGGGCTGCAAAGGAAGACCCTTGGTTTTCAGAAGTGGGTGAGACTCGGGCATGCCCAAATCCTGGGACTTGAGGCAAAGAATTGATATGTTAAATGAAATTGCCCTTTTTCTGTGCATTGAGCTTTGAATAGGAAGAAATTGGACTCCAAAGAAAGATGGTTCTGGAATGGTTCCAGTTAACTCTACAGACACACCTGATATAGTGGTAACTATACGCCTGCTGTAACTCAGAATGAAGCAGGTGGTCAGCAGGGTCAAAGGCCAGCCTGGGTTACTTGGTGAATTCGAGGTCAGCTAGGCCATCGGTTCTCAACCTCTGGGTCGAAACCTCATGGGGGTGGGGGTCAAATGACCCCTTCACAGGGGTTGCCTAAGACCATCAGAAAGCACAGATATTTACGTTATGATTTACAACAGTAGCAAAATTACAGTCATGAAATAGCAACGAAAATAATTTTATGGTTGGAGTCACCGCAGTGTGAGGAGCTGTGTTAAAGGGTCTCAGCATTAGGAAGGTTGAGAGCCACTGAGCTAGGCAAACTTGTCTGACCTTGTCTCAAAACAGTAAAACAAAAGCAACAAAAATATAATCATATGCAATTTTTATTTTGCTCTTGCACATAACCAATCATTGTATTCTTCATGTCAGAGGAGGAAGTAATATTTCTGTTGTTGTTTTTGCCGTTTTATTCAAAGTAAAATAGCCAGGATAGTTAAGTGAGTTGATGGATGTAAGTGCTTTATTTCATGCGGGCTAGAGGGTTCAGCCAGCTCCAGCCTGAGGGGCTTGTTTCCCTCTTATAGACTTGGGTGTCCTTCATTGGCATTACCAGGCAGGCATTATCAGAGAGATCCAGAGATCCACCTGCCTCTGCCTCTGAGTGCTGGGATTAAATGCGTGTACCACCATGCCTGGCTTGTCCAGGGTGTCTTTACCTCTGGATTTCACAAAACCTTAAGGAGTTCAGTTGGTCTGATGATTTCTATGTAATGTGAGGGCTGAGTGGAGAAGTCCACATGAAAGGTAATTGTTGGAATCACCCAAATGAGGCACTTGGTTTGGGTAAAAGCAGTAAGTTTAGGAGCCTGATGATAAGATTGCTTTCACCTGGTTGCTGTGCTCAGCTTCAGAGCCATCTTCTGCAAAATTAGAAGAGTTGCTTGGGCTTGTGGGAATGCTGTACGTGGCTTTAGTAGATGTTGATCTGAAGTGGGAAGGTTAACCAG